AAGACGAAATTAGGACCCAACTATATAAAGTATCATATCTGAGACCACACAGCAGGTATATATAGGGGTACCAAAATTCAAACTCCAAAGCCTGGATCTTTCTGCTGTTGTATTTCATATATACTCAGCATTCCACATTTTTTATTATCCTTGAAAGACTTTCTTTCAAATTTGCTAAAAGTTAATGCCTTATGGGACACTTTGTCGGAAGTATCCCAAGTAGGAAAATCCCAACATTTAACACGTTTGATCAAGGGAAGAAGAGTAGTTCTGTCCAGCCTTGCTAACTGTAACTGCTTTGCAGCAGGAATAGTAGCAGCCAACCTTTATTGAGGACTGCAGGTCACAAGCACTGGGCTAAGTGCTTCATGCTGATCTCCTTTAATCTTGGCTAGTGACACTGAATAAGTGAATTTTAAATTGTTTAATTTCAATTAATTAAAGTTTAAATTTGAATAGTCATACAACAATCCAGTGAAGTAACTACTTCACCTCCATTTCACAGACAGAAAAATTGAAGAGTCAATCCATCCATCCCGGGAAAAAGGAGAAGTGCTTGCTTGAACTGATGCAAAAAGAAACTTTTTTTTTTTTTTACTTCATATAGTGGGAAAAGAACTGAAGATATGTGAAAAGTTTGAAATAAAAATTTTATTTTCCTCCTCACATTGGATGCCCCTGTCACAGTTAAACATATCACCTAGGTAGTTTCCCTCGGATGGATCCCTGATTTAACACAGTCACACTCTTCCACGAGGGCTGAACTGAGAGCCCAGGGGTGCATGGGTATTGTGGGGTAAGAAACACATCCGAAAATAGATTATTCAGTGCTTCTCAAGGTATCTTTAGTCCCTTCCGGCAATTTCTGACCTGAGGAATGGAAAGAAGAGAAAGATAGGGAAGACTGTCTAAGAAAGGAGAAGGAAGATAGCTGAACTCAGCACACAACTGAGAGAGGGCTCCGTGCGGCTTAGGAACAGATCATCCCAGGACCTCAATGCAAGTCCAGAGAGCTGTCAAAAGTTGGGAGATGCAACATGACACAAGTTGGGGGTGTATATTAATATATGTACACATACTTATATAAATACATGTATACACACATATAATATACTGTATATTACATATATTTTTAAGATGAAGGGACCCTCTAAACATGTCTTGCTCCATGTGGTGAATTTAGTGCACTCTGGTGCAGAAGTGCTTCAGTTCAATGGGAAGGGGTTAGCCAGGGACAGCTGGCTTTTGCAGGAGGTCAGCGACACAGACTGGCAGAGACAACTGCGTGGCAGGTGTGGCAGGGAGGGGGTGGGCATGTAGGACTGAAGGTGGTGACATAAGCCAGTTGTTTTCAGACACAGCAAGTGGACTGGCCTGGCTGTGAGAAACAGAATGCTCAATGTGACGACTTAAGACTCAGAACCAGGTTTGAACCCCCTCTTCCTCCAGCACTTACTGTGAAACTTTGGACAAATGACTTAAACTTTCTGAGCCTCAGCTTCTTCATCAGTAAAAACAACACCTCTTTCCTGAAATTGTTGAGAGTATTCAATATTAATACATAGTAGGTGCTTAATAACTGTTCCTTCTTGTTCTTCTTGGTTGTCAAAGAGGAATTTTGTCATGGCAGAAAAGCACATGCCAGGGAGTGCATCTGGGTGTGGGAGAGGCTCTCCTTGTCCCCATTTCACACAGAGGGTGACAGAGGTTCCAGAAGTTATGTAACTTGCCCTAGGTCACAGAGCTGGCTTGTAGCAGAGGAGAAAGAATCAAAACCAGGTCTGTCAGACCACCAGGGCTGCGAATGTCGCACCTAGCCGCTGCGTAAGCAACAAGTGAAAGACTGAAAAGCTAACAGTGAGAAGAATCCTGGCAAGACAGGTTGACAGCACGAGAGCAGCGGCAAGCACCTAAATCCATGTTTTCATCTGCTTGATATATTTTACAAATTCCTCTGGGTAAAGCTGATGCTTTGCCATTTTCAACCAGACCAACCTTCTACTTCTGGTTACTCACCTGAGAAATGAATGAACCTCGAGAACTTCACAGCCCTGCCCGTTTCCTCATTGATAAAATGGAGAGTTTGGGCTACAAGATTTCTGAAGTCACTTCTACCTTCAAAGTGGCGAACATGTGGGTACAATTACCCACAGCGATGCCAAATCACCATTCTCAGAGCCAGCTCTTACGTGTGAGGCCTCTCATGATACAAGCCCTCTCACCCAAAGAGTTGTTTAACCAGGGAATCCTAGAATAGCATATACATGTTCTTAAACTCTTCAGTTTGATTCCAGATACATAAACATACATCCACTCCCCAATTTCACTGATGCAGATGCGATGTCTCTCTTTTAACACTGGTTGTGTGGAGAGAGAGAGCAGTGATGAATTACGCATACAACTAAATGTCCACAATGCATCATCTGTTACTTCCAGTTTTGATGTCCTTAAAATGCGAAAAGAACTTTAAAGTGGTTACAAATAAATCCGAATGCAGAATCTCTCTAGATTTTCAAGTTTTTCCCCAAATCTTTTATAGCTGTTTCTCCCACACTTAATTTGACAGCAATTTTTTTTAGTGACTCATCTCTGTGGAGTCTTTTTAAAGTATTTCACAGTTTCCCTAGAAACAAGAACACTTACTTCTTTTCACATTCTCATTTCAGCAGTTTAATTAAATAAGTCAGATTTTGTCATTCCTCTTCTCTAGCACCTCCAACGGCTCACCCACCTTCCCAAAAGGACAAGCTGAAGTCTGCACAAGGCTCAATGTGCTGTGGCCCCCGTCTACTTCTCTGACCTGCTCTCCTGCCATCCTGCCCCTTGGTCACGTGCTCCAGCTACTCTGACCTCCACGCACTTCCTTGAACAGCCAAGCAAGCTCTGCTTCAGACTTTACACTTGCTGTTTTCCCCCCTCTGGAATTCTCTTCTTCTGAATATCCAGGGGGTAGCTCTTATAATTACCTCTTCGGTCTGTCTTTGTGCAAATGTCACCTTCTCAGTGAAGCCTTCCTCATCACCCTATTTAAAGTAGCCACCCTCGTCCCCTGTCCAGGATTTTCTATCCCCCCAGGCCCCACAGCTTTTACCCATAGCCCACCTGTCTGACATTCTATATATATTTTACTCATTAGAATTCGAGCTCCACAAGAGCAGAGATTTTTATCTGTTTGTTCCCTGATGCATTCCAGTGCCTAGAATAGCATGTCTGTAGTTGTCACTCAATAAATATTTGTTTAATAATAACCTTTATTATGATGATAAATGCATTGTCTCTCAGACCGAATTGCATAACTACCATAATAAGTACCTCAGGCTTGTGAACAGGTTCTGAAACAAATGCAGCCAGAGCCTTGGTAAGCAAAGAAGTCACCCAGAGGGTTAGGAGTGTGCTGGTGTGAGAGTCCAGCCCACCTGCCTTGAGCAGCCGCGAGCCCTGGGCGCACCCAGGGCATGGCACGGAGGGAACGAGGCCATCGGTTAAATGCAAGCTGGCTACACAGTCTCTCCTTTTAACTTGATCAAAATAACCTCTCCAATTATTTCATGCTTTCAGATTGAAATGTACAATAACACATACCACAGTCAATTATAGAAGATGATATAGCCACTTTTTTCAGATACAGGCAGAATAAAAAAAGACAGGTTGTCTTGTTCCTGTCCACCATTTAATGATCAATTACCTTTAGCAAATGTCTTCATCTCTCTCTCATCCTTGGTTCTCCACTAAAAAGGAGGAAGGTATAAAATAATACGTGGCCTGCCTATTTTATTGGTCTATGGTATCAAATGGATCAACAGCTATGAAAATATATTAAAAAATTACGTAGCATTCTATACAATAAACAATTTTCTTTGTATTAACATGGATAACCAAATTGTGACATCTACTGTAGCTCCCCCAAACTGATGATGTATTTTAGAGCACTTTGATTTTAAAATGATTCCTAAAATATATTAAAAAATAAACAGAAAGAAAAGTCTGCTTTTAAGGGCATGGAATGAGAAAGAGAAGGAAAATGGCTTTTTCCTGATTCTTTAATGAAAAAACACAAAGAAGAAAAAAACATTAATCTCCACAGCAGTAACTGTAGCATGTAAAGTTCAGATTCAAGAATATTACTGTGAATATCTACAATTATCTAGACTCGTGGACACTTAAGATATCCCTCATCTATTTCAACACCACTGGGATAATCCAAGATGACTTATTAATATCACACGTGTCAACAGCAGTGTGTGATGTAAATGAGCAGACCCTTTCCAACCATTTTAGTTCTGTTTTATTATAGCATCTATTAAACCAAAATAAAAAATTGGTGAAGTATGACTTGTCACACCATTTATTAGAGTTGATGGAGTGTAGACCATCTTTTCAATAAGGTTTTAACACACTGCTATGCACCACAGTGCATTATTCAAGAAAAGAAATGCATGAGACTTACATCAGCTTTTCCCCCTAGTCATTCTGATATTAAATTTAAAATCAAGTCTACCATATATGGCAAAGGTTCAGAGATAAAATGTTAATTTGTTTGTTATTCTCCAAAACTTAAGTTTATGATTCAAAGTAACAATCAGGAATCTTTCCTATTCTACTGAATTTAATAATTATACTTTTTTTTGGAGAAGGGTTCAAAGGTAGAAGCAAATGCAACAGAAAGATAAACAATTTGTGCCCTAGTTTGTATCTGACAAGAGGATGGGATCTAATTTTCTCTCTGATTGAAAAAACACAAAAGACAGCCACAGAACGCAAATTGTGTGTTGGGTGTTGGAACTTCTCTTCCAATACCTGAGTATCCAAATGGAACTAATTCACTCTGGAAAAGGTATTCAATAATTGAGCATGAATGTGCCAAAACGAGGGCTAATTCTCAAACTGTGAAGGAAAATAAACATATTTTGCAATGATAAGGTCACCTCACTCACTTAGTAACCTCAATCAACCATTTTACACTCAAAAGAAATAAACCAAAAATATTAAGAATGACCTACCGCCAACAAGGAACCCTGATAGACACAAGCACCTGTGGGGAAAAACAAAACAACAATTAAAAGGGATGCATAATAAACCAACAGCGCTGCCCCAGCAGGCTCACTGCTAAAACTGCATCTGCACGCATCATGATCAGCAAACTGTGCTTTTCCCAAAATCTTAAAAGCTTGAGCATTTCTTCCCGTGGGGAAATAACCCCATACATCAAAACAACATTTCTTGGACACACATGAGGGAAAGCATCATTAAAACTTACTATTTGAATTTAAAAATAAATGTATTTATAAGGATGTGCTATAAATACAGCATATATTTTCCTTTGTGATAAGTCAGCAAAGCCTCCATAATCCAGTCCCAATTTACTTATCCAGGCTTCTCTGCCACTCTTTGCTTACAATTCTCCAGTCCAACCCAAGAGGCCAACTTAGGATCCTGTAAGATACTTTCAGGTCTGAACCCCTTCGCTCATTTCATTTCCTACATGAGATGCAGTGGGTCTATTCAAGTCCCTTGAACTTGATCCCATCTCCTTCATGAAACGCTTTCAGCCCACAGGATTATGTTCTTTTGAGCTCATAATATTCTGTGCCTGCATTATCCATTTGTAAATTCATTCTTGCATATGCCCCTGTGATATCCTTCTGAAGGATGTGGAAATGTTGCATATACCCCACTACACTATATATATATATATTAATACACACACACACACACACTCTCAGGAAAGGGGCTGCTTCTATTTCTTTGAGTCCCCACCCTTCACATAGCACGTATTCACTTGGGTATCTGGTTGATTAATACGAATACCCATTTCATGTCTTTAACACAGTATGTTCCTCTTTAGAGAGATTAAACCATTTTACAGGAGAGTAGTTAGTATAAGTGGTAGTTTATTGAAAAGAACTCCTCTATTCAGCTCCTGACCTCCACGACTCTTTTAACCCGCTTTTCACTCCATTTTTTTTCTGATGGGCTGCTTATGAACTGATACATCTTTATGTTTTCCAGTCATTAAGCACCAAATGAAAAACAACAGATATGTTTCTAAATGGAAAAGAAGGCTGAATGTGAATGGGACTGCCTACATATTCTGAATAACTAACACATCATAAAATAAATCTCTAAGTTTTACACTGGAAAACAATTTAAAA